GTCGGTTTCAGCAGGTTGTGCCTCCCCCTGTTCAGAGCTCTGCTCGGAGGCCTTAAGTATAGAGAAGCCTGTCCTTTGTTCCGGGGCCAGGCCAAGCTTTTGATTATGGAAGATTTTAGGGATCGGACTCTTCAAAGCTGACAGTCTATCAATGCACAGACCTTCTCTGCATATGTTACTGGTAAAGTGCTTAAACCTCTGCAGTTAATACAAAGTAGAGATAGATTGATTTTGTTTAAACAAAGCTATGCCATCAAATTTATTTTAAGAGGAGAGAATAGTAAAATTTGATCATCTCACTTTACTACAGGTTATAATGTTTTTCTTGTGGCAACAAGTTGCTAAACGCTGAGCTGGGGACATTTTTGTAACTGGCTATCACAGAAATTATAACTTGGACACATAATTCTAGCTTTTTTACAGACTCAAAGGCTTCATAAGAAGAAAATAATTAAGTTGCAAGAGCCTGGAAAAATGGAGAGTGAAAGGGCAAACAGGTCTAGCTGTCGATAGCTTAAAAAATGAACAAATGTGCAAAATAGCTTTAATCTAGAATAGAAACTGGAATTTGGGCTGTATGAACAGTTTCTCTCAATTCAGTACCATCTCATGATGGACAAAGTTGAATTATGTCATTTAGCCCTCAATGTCCAATGAAATGTTCATTTTCAGAGTAGAGAACATTTTATACTTAAAATGTGATACTTTTGCTTAACAGTAGTGTGAAAGCTATTGTTATTGGCGAATGATACAGCAGGAAACCATAAGACTGGTTATCATCTCTTCTTACCTAAAAAGAAGCCATATTTAGTACTCTCTCATCTGAAGCAGTGTATGGTTTTGGATTCTGTGCAGGAGCTTTGAAAAGCAGGCACCACTGAGTTGGCCCAGGAAGGGTCGGTTGGGGGACAGCACCTGTCTCCACCAATGATGGGGGGTTCATTTCTCCAGCTGCAAACCCATTTCTCCTTAAGAGTGCTATGAAAGTTGACACCCCCCTCAAATAACAACTGCAGGACTGTGCTCTCATCCTCTCATGATGGATTTTGAACTCCTCTTTTTTGCCCTAGTGATGTATACTTGTTATATATGACAGATCATGTAGGGAGACTGAAAAATAATTCTGACCTTCTCCCCATGGAGTAAGGCTGTGTTTTTTCAACCTAATCAGTTAATTCTATATTTTAAAAAAAATTTAACTTACTGATGTATCTGCCTCATCAGTGCATTTCTGTACACTTACCATGTTTTTAGCTCTTTAAAAATTACAAAAATATATAACCTATGTGATTGCTTGTTTTATTTAAGTAAAAGCAATTTATTTTAACAAAAAAATAAGTCTTGTATATATACAAAAAATATTCTAAAAATGGTGAGAAAGCATGAATTTTCAGAAAAATTACCAAAAATAAACTTAACTTGCTTTCATAAGAAATCGAAAGATCATACTATAAAACCTTAATGGTCAACTTCTGAATAATGCATACTTAATTACAGTATTCCTAATTTTTATATAATAAGAATACTCCTGCTACTTCTGGTTGTAAATTGTCCAAACTGTTTAAAATTTTATTCCATTCTTGCATTAAGAACCAACTGTAGAACTCATACTTTTTGATAAAAATAGTAAAATGCTTTTTGTTAAAATGCCAGTATAATCAAATAATCTTCTATAATAGCAACACAACTGTTGGTCAGTTTGTAATTTTCCTAAGGAATTTATTAAATGAAATATTGAGAGTTTTGAGAAAGCAGGATGAGTATTTTGCTGACAGATTGAACCTGAGTTTCACAATCTGTTTAGCCATCTCCTCACATATGCTGTCCCGGGAACTGTCTCCCTAGTGGGCTCCCTCTGCAGTGCGGTGAGGACATCCCGTCTGGAAAGGATTGCTTCCTTGCTGGGCTGGCGGTGTTCCTTTTACAGCACAGACACCAGCGGGGCAGCTTTAAAACAGCATACTAGCGTAGTCTCCGTTACACTGAGAAATTAAACCTCCACCCTAACTCAGCACGAATAAAAATATTAATGAGGACATTAAGGTTGCTCACTGCATTACTTTTCTCACATTTCCAACTAGGTATCTGTGCTATTGCATTTTAAATATAACTGTAAAGTTATCTGAAACCATTTTGGAGAGGATTGAACTCCAAGGTTTTCCCACAGTGAAGAATATTATGTACCCCCTGGGGCTACCTGTTTGAAATTGCTTTGAAATCTCAATTTTTATCTCAATAAAGTCAAGGGATTTTTGCATTCCATGACAGAAGCACAGAGTGCAAAGACCCTGATGTGATCCCAGTCCCTGGATCCACAAACAAATAATATGAATATTAAAATGCTGGTTTAATTTACTTACCACTGAGTAAACTGACACTCTGTGAAAATGGCCTTCATTAACCAGGTCCCTAGAAGTGTTCATACCCCAAAGTAAAACAGCTTTATGGCATTTTTATTAAGAAAGTAAATTAGACTAATAGCACAACACTGCCTTTCTGTTACACAGGTTATACTGTGTCATTTTTTTAAATGACAGTTTCCCTTTTGTATTTTAAATATTTGCCTAATCAGAAAGGGAGAAAGGGGAGGAAGCCTGAGGCACCTTGGTGGCAGCAGGTGTGAAAGGCCTAAAGACAGATCCCCTCATAATTCCCTCATGTCTTTTTATACTAATTTTCCTTCACTGAAGCTCTTCCACGGGAGACTTTCACCTGGAAGGGCTTGGAAGGAGTGACATGGCTATCTTTTATCCTGTTTTCCTTATTAGAAAATATATTGCTATCGTCTCCTATGAACAACGCCAGAATTACAAGGCTGACTTCAATGCAGAGTATGATGAATACAGGGCCTTGCATGCCAGAATGGAGACCGTAGCTAGAAGATTTATCAAACTGGATGCACAACGAAAGCGCCTTTCTCCAGGCTCAAAAGAGTATCAGGTAAATGCATTTGTTCATAGATGGACTGACTTTCATGTTTTACTTTTTTCTCTGCCTGGCCCAACCCCCAGGCCCCCAGGCATCCTGTTAGCCTTCAGAGTAGGTCTTCTTGCTGACCAGCTTCTCTGCAGCTTTTAGCTTCTATTTAAAATTAGCTGGTATCTAAATATTTGAAGTAGTGCTTCAACCTGTATTTCTGTCAGTGGAAAAAATAACCTTCTATTTAACGTAATAGGTGTAAAATATGTAATATATGCTTAATACATTTACTATACTATGTGTAGTGTATTGGGAAGAATACCAAACACAAATAAACAGGAAAACAAGTTGGATTTTGGATTCATCAATACATTTTATTGCATTGTCAACTCAACTCAGGCTACAGCTCCAGATCTGGTACTGTTCCCCAAAACTCCAATTCCAAGTCAATACTTTGAGTAATTTTTAAATAACCTCAGTCCGGGATAGAATATGGAAGATGTAGACATGAAATATAACAAGGGGCTTAATACCACAGAAGTTTGGGGTTTAAGTGAAGAAAAACATGGTGCTTACAGCTGTTCCAGAGACAGACATTTGTTAGCAGGTAGTGATCAGTTTCACTTTCCTACTTTAAGTGGTAATATTACTACAGCTCAAAGAGCAACAGAAGCCTGACCTGATTATTCTCATGGTTCTTAGCAAAAGGGTTAATATAAACGAGTGTTTCCTTGCTTGCATAGACCAGATAATTTGGTCGCACTTCACAGGCATAGATGGTGCTGCCATCCCGGCCCACTGCCATTGTTCTGACAGGAACCGAGCGAGAGAATGGATGAGTTTTCCCACAGGGGCCTGTGCCCTAGATATCCATTATGACTTCTATTAGGAGGCCTTAGTCTCTTAAACAAGCCGCCTAGAATTATATATTTTGCCAGAGGAGTTGGTATTTGAGGATGCGAGAAGACAGTGATAAGGTGGTTTCGGGTTTGTAGTTTTCTATGTAGTTATTGACCAGTGTAACATGATTGTATTCCAAGGATTGTTTGGTTAGAAGTAGCTCCAGAACCAGAATGCTGGGTTTGGTTCCAAGGTCCTACCATTTAATACTTGTGTGACCTTGGGCAAGTTACTTAACTTGCCTCAAAATCCCCATCCATAGAATGAGGTGACCATAGATTTGTGCAGAATAAATGTAAGCATTTGGAACCTGGTTAGATCCATCGTACATCAGGTTATATGATACTTAAGGGTTAGCCATTTTCCCCAGCCACCCAGTTTTCCTCCCTAGAGATAATCAGTAGTGCTGGTTTCCAGTGTATTCTTTAAGAGTCACGCACGTGCGCGTGTGCATGCATGTGTGTAAGAGGTATATACACAAGGAAATTCACATATATACCATACATAATTAAATCTAAGAGGTGTAATGATAAGACACACTATTGTGTTATGTTCAAGTAAGTTAAACTATGATACATCTTCACCTGATTTCATTAAGATGAGAAGAAATATGCATCTTAGAATTAATGAAATTCTTAGAATATATATTCTGTTTCCTTCTTTTAAACAAATGATGTCATTGTATAAATTGTTCTGCACTTTTCTTTTTTAACTGAACAATACAAATGCATCTTAGAGAATTTTTAAATATAAGTACATAAACACTTCTCCCTTGTTTAATGCTCTCCTTAGTATTCCTTTGCATGGATTAATGGACACTTCGATGTTGTTTACTATCTTTTGCTTTACAAGCAGTGCTGCAGCAATTGACCTTCCACACACATCATTTCACTCAGACACCAGTAAATCAGAAAGAAAGTCTAAGTGCCAAGCCAGTTTTGCATTTGCTGTATTGATAACAGTTGCCAAATTACCTTCCTTAGTAATTATACTGATTTACATTCCCATCATCAATATTTCCCCACACCCTTTCAAATGTGTGTTAACTATATATATTGAAAACAAAAAAAGTTCTCTTCTGATTTCTAATTTTTAATTTTGTAGAATGTTCATGAAGAAGTCTTACAAGAATATCAGAAGATCAAGCAGGTACGTATCATTACTGTTGGTTTTCTGACATGGAGTTGGGAAGTAATTACAAATTATGTAACCTGATTCCTCCTGTTCTTTTCCATCTACAGTCTAGTCCCAATTACCATGAAGAAAAATACAGATGCGAGTATCTTCATAACAAGCTGGCTCATATCAAAAGACTGATAGGTGAATTTGACCAACAGCAAGCAGAGGCATGGCACTAGAGCTCTGCTTGGACCAGAAGATGTGAATAAACTTAAGCTTATTTATTTAAAATTCCAAATGAGTTGCTCTAAGATTCTAAAAAAGGAAACTTTGCCTGTCGAAAGTTTCAGTATTTGTAAACTTGAGTTAACTATTTTTTTTCTTTCTGTCCCCCTCCCACAACCCCCAATTTCTTTGCTTCCCTGCAATTTTGAAGCTGCTTTTTCTGGTCCTCCCCCCCTCCCCCCCCCATCAAGACTTGTGTTTGTCAATAGAAGTAAATTTTTTTAGATATTGGGGATCCAGTATCTATACTTTAAATCAGTTTTTTTTTTCTTATAAACATGTTTGTAATTAGCAATGATTTTTTTAGATATTGGGGATCCAGTGTCCACACTTCAAAGTTATGTGTGTTAAAAAACAAACCAGTAATGTGCAAGGTGAAATGCGTTTGGATAAACATAAGCCTATTTTCTGACCTTTCTTAATGCAAACTCTTTGCCTTAAATGGTAGAATATTTAGAAATTTGCACAAAATACAAAAAAAATTAAAACATTGTATTGGAGGGTTAAGAAATAAAAAGGTCTACGAGTATGTATATGTGTGTAGCTACACATACACATATATATATATACAGGCTGACTTAATCTAGAACAGAAAAGTGCCCTGCAAGTTAACCCCCCATTGCAATGGTTGCCTTAAGGTGTTTGCTAGTTATGTACATAGTGTGGTTAATCATTAGCTACACTGCTTCCCACCTGATTGGAGCAACGGGAAGCACACTGTGGCCTACCAGCGTCTGAACGCGTGTGCGCGACCTGTGTGTGTGCAGAGGTGGTGTGGATGTGAGCGTGCATGAAGGAAAAAAAGCTGCTACTCTTAGTAGGCCAAACGCTCAGGTTAAACAACTGACGAGTGTTACTGTAGGTTTTTGTTTTTGTTCTTATGTTGTTTTTTTGTCCAATTGCTACTTCTATTGTGAAAGACAAAAGCATTTCCATTTCAACTGTTTGTCAGCTTTGTCGGGCAAAATTGGTATGTTATGAAAATGAAACAAATCTATAGTTTTGGGGCAAAATTATAAAATTAATTATGTAGGTAACCTATTTATATACTGCTATAAACTATTTTTTGAGGAGAGATGTGCAAAGAAGTTATTACCTACATGAAATGTATATTTAAAGATTTTTTTCTTCATCCTGGGTGCCAGGAATATAAAAAAGAGTGGATATATTTAACAATAGCATACTGTGATTCATCAAACAGCACAAACTTTCAGTTCATGGAGTTTATCTGTTGACGTTGATTTAAACTATCACTTGTTTTATCATGTGGGAACATAAGTTATGTCAAAATGTAAGGATTTTGAACTAATGTTGATTCAAGTTGTGTTGTCTTACCGTATTGTCTTTTCAAAGTGCTGCAGTAAAAGGAAGCATTATGTTTACAATCTGTTTTGAAATGTTTGCCAAATTTTGGTAGTATCTTTAATAAAGATGTTTGTCTCCCAGCATCCAAAAAATAAATAACTTTGTTGTGTATCACTGTAAACCAGGAAAATGTTATTATCTAGAAACCTGAGAGGAGCATGTAGATGAACTTTGTCTTTGGAGTTCTAGATATGTAGAAGTACACAACTATACCAAGACTAAAACAAGACCCTCTACACTACAACTCTATAACATTATTGCAGAAACTTAATTTCTATGTAGCATGAACCTCCTAGGGAATTCGATTTCTTTTAGCATCGAGATCCCTGGTGCTCTTCTTTTTTCCTCAGAATTGGTACAATCATTAGTAAATGTTAATTGATTTCAAACTTTCAATTGCAAAAAAAATAGGAAACTTAATTGGGGGGTAAATTTGGTCCTCATATTATTATGGTGGAGTCTGCTGAGGGATTTGTCTATAGATAATGACCTCATTGGTGTTTAATCAAAGATTGTGTGCTGCTATTTGCTATGAGTGGTGTTTCTCAAAAGCAAGGTGCTTGGACCACTTACATCACCCAAATTAGAATCTCTGGGTATAGGGCCCAGGTAGTCATCCACATTTTCCTAAGTATCCTCCAGGTGACCTGCAAGCTAAAGTATGAGAACCACTGGCTTGGATGTAGTGCTAAACCTGAGGTCTCTAAATCTCAAAGTCTTGAAATGAAGTTCAACTGTTGGCTTTTTTTTTAAACCACCTCTATCAGCAGGCACACATCACTTTTTCCTCAAGATGAGAGGCACCTTCTCAATTGTTTCACTGCCAACTCTTATTTCAGAACTTGTTTACAGACAAGTCTTCTAGTTAGGTAATTGTTAGCCCTTCGAGTTCCTACCCACCCACATCTGCACATCTTCTGGTTTACAAATTGGGTAATAGAAGCTGGAGATGCTTTACAAAAACCCAGCACTGCATACCCATAGACTTGACCACAAACCTATAAAAGCCTTAATTTAGACGTTTATTGTGTACCATGGGCAGATCCTTATAAAATGTGTATCAGTTATAAATCTCTGACTCTGCTGCTACCTGAGGCTGCATCTCTTTTGAAGACAGGCATAAGCCTATTAAAATATATCATTTTTCATGTCCTGTTAGATTTTTAGATACTTTCAAGTCATTGCTGCAGGAGTGTGTGATCACTTAGTTACTTTAGTCGAAGAATCTATTCAGTTTTTTTGAAAGACACAGTGTAAAAGCATTGTCAAGATGAGAGAGGGAGTTATGTTTTCATCACATTTCATCTAAAATAATTTGAAGCATTCTTGAAGATTTTTACCAACACTCATAAATTGATTCTAAATTGAATGAGCAGCTAATTTAATATAAACCAAAAAGAACATTAATTAGATGTGGTTTTGTTTTTTTATGTGGGGATTTAATTTCCTATCTTCTTGGGTTTTATTTCTCAAGGAGTAATTTAAAGAGTTAACTTTCACTTCTAGTGGTAGATGTTAGGACTGGCTCTCTCAAAAGTAATTGGTGTGGTCAGTTTCTATCGTTGCGCCATTCATTGATTCCAAAAATTCAGTATTTTCATTCATCTCTGATGGATCTTTTAACTGTTAGAGGAGTTTTCTTTTCCCTTAAAGTATTTCACTTTATTTTGAAAATAAATGCATACTTGCATGTTGGAAGCAAGATGTTGAAATGAGGTTTAGCCACAAATGGTCCATTAGTTCCAACACTGCTTGGTTGCCGTACCTCTTGCATTACTTTGTTCTTTGCTTCTGGAACTTGTCTGAAACGCTTTAGCCAGTTCATTGTCTTTCTGGCAGGATGAGTGTTATCATGTGTGCTTGGTATACGCCTTTACTACTTCTGAAGTTCTTACAGTTTATTACTTCCCCAAGTGTTACTAAATCCTTTTATTACATGTACCAGATTGGGGGAAATTTATAACCAGCACTTTGAGAGGAACATGTTGGGAAAGGATATTTAATGGACACTATTAAATGGAGGCAACAGGAGATATTATCCATTTTCTTTGTAACCTAAAAACCTGAACAAGGCTGTGAGGCTCGTTTCAAAACATTTTGAAGTGTTAAAAATTTACACACACACACACACACACACACACACACACACACACACACACTGTTTCTCAGTTCCATCCAAACCATGTTAGGACTCTCGAAGGTAAAATGTCACAGGGACTTTTCAGTTGTTACTGAGCTCAGCAGCTGTGGTGGCCCCTGTTGTTCTACACCAATTTCAGTTCAATAAAAATGTTAACACTGCACTGCTGGTATCTGTTTTGCCTTTGTCTCATTTCAAGCCCTTAATCCTTAACTTTGTCTTAAAAAACAACAACAAAAAATGCCCCACATCAAAGTGCTCTCTGATGTCCTAATGTAAATGATCTTCCTAGGACAGATATTGTTTATTGGTGACTCTAAAAGTCGGAGCAGGGTGTCTGTCTGCTCCGGGACCCCGCCTGTTTATAATTTTAGGACATACCCTCCACAGGCAACATCTAGGGGAACAGTAATCACAGTTAGCATTTGTTGAGGGTTTTCCTGTGGGATACATACCCTTTTGCATCCATGGTCCCATTTCTCCTCACCACAGCCCTGTTATACCCATTTTGTTGGTGAGTAAACTAAGGTTTAGAGAAGTTAAGAAACTTGCCCATCACCCAGCTAGTAAGCAGTGGAGCCTAAGAAACCTGATCTCCATGTCTGTGTTCTTAACCACTTCTCCATGATATCCCTCATATGTTGGTACCAGTTTAGGGTTAGAGTAATCTTCACAAAGTGATCATTCTAATAACATCGGACGGGCTAGAAAAATGTTTTGATTCAAAGGAGACTAGAACGTGAGTATGATGTCTACTGGATTATTCTCAGCAGGTTGATTTTATCAGAATTGATAAATTTGAAGGAAGGCCAAAATACTTTTTAAGAAAAGATATGTTTATTTTCTTCATGACTGTGTATAGTCTTAACAAGGCTACTAGTATTTGAAGGAGACTGAGGCAGTGAAGGCAGAGACAGGAGGCAGGGGTATGGCCTTGGAATCACACCATTTTCTTTTCATATTAAAAGGCTGTCTCCCTAACGACAGACTAGCTCTAGGATCCCTGTCTGAATTAGTCATAAGGACATTCTCCTGTTTCTATAAGATTTCTGCAGGAACAATGGAAGATGAAAGGAAGAAAGTCTCAATTAAGCATTGATGTTAAAAACCTAGAATGTTTAGTGCCAGCAGTGATTCTGGTTAGGTTTACAAGGAGCCTCACAGATTAATGAGATTCCTAATGTAATTGTGGCAGCAGCCCTCCCCCACCAGACATTTAACATGTGCTTGTCTTTTAATTCCTTTCCTCAGCTGTAAAGTGGAAATACGCCTTCTTACTGGGTATGAAAGAAGCTTAATTACTGTTTATAAAGCACTTGGGTGTTCCATGAAAAACAGCTATCTAAATTATATATTGTCTGCTGAATGCATTGGGAGACTTGGGAGCATTATTTTCCAGGTGACAATGGGTCCATTTTGACTGATGGCAAAGGGGACAAAGGCAGAGAGAAGAGAGAGGCTGAGGGTTCTAGGTGAGTGCCTGGGGTTTGTTTTATTGAATGCCAGGCTCTCACGTACCTGTTCCACTGGTTTTACCTTTCTGACACGGACAGGAGGCTAGCAGTGGCAAGAGATGGCTCTGATATTTTATGATTGCTTAATTGTCATGTTGGGGTCAGATGATTCTGCCGTGTGTGACTGGAGATGCGTCATTCACAACTCCTGCCTGCTTAATTCAACTGGCCAGCCAGGCTGGTTTGTCTGACTGTAATTAGATACTTGGTACAATGTGGGCATTTGTAGATGAACGATAAAATCTCATATCTGGGTCTGTGAAATGTAAGGAGAATGCCTCCTAAAGATGAGCTCCCAGAATTAGCCACCAAGCCTGAGTTCTAAAGCTGGGGCTTGTAGGGGAATGGCTGGCTGCCTTTCTATACTCAGGGTCCCAGTGGGCTTACAGAATTCTAGACAGGCAGTGGGAGCCAATTTGCCAGTCTCGTCTCCTGCTACACTCACTCTCTGCCACCAGTCGCACAGGCCTGCCCACAGGTTTTCCTATCCCAGGCCCTTACTGTCACTTGCTGTCCCTTCCGCACCACCAGCCTTACCTCCCAGCCCTTCCTCACTTAGCTCATCCCTCCTTACCCTGAAGATCTCTGTTTAAACATCACTTCTTTCCAGGAAGCCTCCCCTGACCCCTCAGACAAACTCAGGTCGCCGTGGTATATGCTCTCATTTTATACTTCTCCTTTAGGGCATTTATTACAATTGTAACTAAATGTTAATTGTATTATTACTAATTAAATAAGTGTCATGGCAGTAGAGACTCTCTTGCTTACTAGGGTATCCCCAGCTCCTGGCCTAGTGCCTGGCATACAGAAGGTACTCAGTAATAATGGATTGAAAGAATGACTGAAGCAGGCTATTTGTACATGTCACACAAAGTTAACGTTGCAGAGGACTTGGACCACTGCGAGAGTCTGCTGTGTCAGTCGCTGTGCCCTGCCACTTCTCGCCCCGAAGTCATGATTGAGGAAAGGCTCACCGCCCTGACTTCGGGAATCCCTTTGCCATGATTAACTAACTGGACACCTTCAATGGTGACATGTCTTTCCAACATTGGATTCACCCCTCCAGTCACCTTTGGACTATGAGCATCTGCATTAGTCTATCATGGTTTGGAATGTAAAATGAAATGGTTTAAAAAGTTACTTTTATTATAACTGACATATTCTGACTCATTTCCTAATTACTTTTTTCAATCGTTTTTCTCTCACTTCTCAACGATGTGGGAGAGGGCAGCCGTCTTAAGATAGTGTTGCATCTCATTTTTCCATCTTCGTGAAAGCATGCCCAGCCTGATGTTTCTTTAAAGTCAACATGTGCTTTTATTGAAACTTATTTTATGCCCAACACTTCTGGAAAAAGGGGTCACGACCCACAGTTTGAGAACCGCTGATATAGAGGATTATCCACGGGTTTTGGGATTCCTGTAATGACAGAGCTAACAGAGTCCATCAACAATATTAGGCACCACTGCCTTCCCTTCAAGATGATGAGATGGAGGTGTTTGAATGACAGCCCCTGGCAGAGCCAGATGGACCCCTGGAGCTTTCACCTTCCTAGAGGGAGGCCGAACATAATACAGAGAGGGCCTGGCAAAGTGCCAAACAAGATGTGCCACTCAAGCAGTTCAGAAAACCAAGCCAGAAAGCCTGACTCGGAGTCCAGGGTCTGCCACTGCCAAACTACGCACATGGGCAAACTTATACAGCTCTCCAGCCTCAGTTTCCCACCCATGAATGGGACAGTGCCCACCTCAGAGGGTTGTTGTGATAACATATATGTAGAATGGTCCATGGCACCTAATAAGTTTCCTATACGTACTTTCATGGTTTATTTTCTAATGATTTCCTTCCTTTTATTTTGATTTGGACAGTTTTTAGCAATATACCTGATAAATAAGCAGTCAGCCAGAACTGGAAACCCTATTGGGCTAATTTAGGTTTTTGCATAACAGTGGTGGAGCCCGTATGTTAGATCAACACATCGCTGCTCCCAATTACTCTATGAAATAAGTTTTCTCTGTCAATCTTTTCAAGTGCCACATTAGTGGCCCTAAACAACACGGACACCAGTCACTTAGTTATAGTGCTGATGCATTTGTTCCAAACTTGAACATACTCTGTATTAATTCTTTTTTCCAGTTGTCTTCACAGGGGAGAGTTTGTAAAAGAGCCGTGTTTTCTGTAAGTGTAAGTGCTTCTTGCCCCCTTGTTACTTGAGGGGGTTGACACGGTTCATTTCAGGTAAGGTGCGCTGCGAAAAAGCCTGCCGTGAACATGACTCTGTCCTACACCTGTAAGCTTTTCCTTCCCTCAAGGATAGAGCTCATTTAACTCAACTTTGCCAACGGAGAGCCAAGAGGGTCTCCAGGGGTCTCAGAGCCACCTGAGCTACAGAACTCTGCAGCTGAGAACAGCTATAAAAGGACACTGGGGACTGCGGGCAAAGCCACCTCCTATCTACCCTCATCCTCCCTGCCTCTCTCTCTGCCCCAGTTGACACGTTTTTATTGCTGTGGTAGCCAATTACTACCACCCCACCTGCTCCTCCCTTCTCAGCTCACTATTCTCACCTGCATGAACTATGATGGCTCCTCCCTTCAGTTAATGTGCACATCTTATCATTTTCCCTCTGTCTTTGGTTACAGATGACTTGGCTTATAGATAGTGAGAAGGCCAGTTCAGAACCAGGGACCTACAAGCAAGGCACAAAAAGTTGGGGAAGTAAAGTTGAAAATGCTTTGCGATAGAGAGGGCAAAGAATGCAGTCCTACACCTGGGTCTCAGTCCTAGTTCTGAGATTTACCAAACTATGACCCAGGGCCATTTGTCTAAGCCCCTAAATCTTCCTTCCACCATCTCTTATAAACTAGGATAATACCTACATACTGTGGCTAAGTGAAGATTAGATTGTTGCATTCAACTAAAGGGACTTGGTAGGGCACTCATAAAGCAACACTGTTTATTCTCACACGTGTCCCTAAAAACCCACATTGGTGGCTGTTTCTCTAACCTCAGC